CAGCCGTTTGGAACCACGGCGGTTGGGGGGGCGGTGGAGCTGGTGGTTTTGGGGGGTGAGAAAACGCTGGTAAGATACATGTAATGTATATGGTATTGTATGGTACTGTAGTGTGTGGTATTGTATTGTGTATGGTATTATATTGTATTGATATTGTATTGTGTACCGTGTTGTTACGTAATGCCATGTATGTGTCATATGTTTGTATTTGTAATTTGTGAGAGGGTTGGTAACATCAGAATATCAGGTACACCTCTGGTTTGGGGGGCTTGGTACACCTCTGGTTTGGGGGGGTGTTGGAGCTGGAAAGCTTTTCGGGTTGGACACCTGTTCCTAAGATCTAGCCTTAACAAACTGGTAACGACATCTGAGATCGGATTCTGTGATCTGTCGCGTGGGAGAGAATCACATATTTATATAGGAGATCCTTCCCAAAATAGGGTCAAAGTTTCCAGAAGAAACTCCCGGTTGCCTCTATATGTGGGGTCAAACCTGTAGATCAAAGGTTTGACATCCAAAAAGGATGAAGGGTGTACAGGGATCTCTAATTTTGATTGGGCCTGTTCTCTTTTTGAGGTTCGGATAGTGGTGGTGGTGATGATGATGATGATGATGATGATGCTGATGATGATGATGATGGTGGTGGTGATGGTCTTGGTCAGAATATATATGGAGCATGGGGTGCATTCAAAGACTATTTTCATAGACTCAAACAAGTGACATCAAGTAATGAGCCTCAAATTGCTGCATACGACGTCACTTAGACTTGCTCCAACGAAGCACAGCCAACTCATTGCGATCTTCAACGAAACAACTCGGAAACATCAAGAAACATCCCAGTCAGCAACAACTTACCCAGTCCTGTGCAAAAACACATCGGTTGACCAACTTCTCATCCAGTCAGGTCGGATGAAGCAGGCTCCTTCCCTGCAGAGGCCTCATCCTCCGTGATATCTTTGTGGAGTCCTTCCAACACCAAGGCTCTTCATGCGGGAACTGCCGTACTCTGCACACTCTGGGCTTTGGTGTCGGGGAGTTTCTCCTCTTCCAATCAAAGGGCAAATGATCCAAAAGAACGTTCCAAGACCGTTGACCTGGTTTTGTGCAAAGCCGTTCGTAAAGCGGTTTGAACCATGCATGGTGGGCGGTCTTGGTTTTGAATGTCTTCTCTACCAGCACCACCCAAAAGGTGGTATATTGTAGAACCCCCTATGTATGTTCCATCCATGTCAAATCACGTCAAATCCTTTTTCCATCCTTTTCCATTTCAGATCCTTTCACCACCTGAAATGGGGCGCTGTTGCATCCACTGTTCGTTCTTCATGCCACGAGTCGGTGGTCGTGCAACTGCGACGTCTCGCGGCCTCCGCACCAGAGCCGGTAGCGCCTCGGCGGTGGGCCCCGCACCGTGTGTGAAAACCACGGCAGGCAGAAGCTGAACAAGGCAGACGACACCCCCATGGGATCTAGATGGTGGGTGTGTTCTTTTTTGCGGCGCTTCTGGAAAATGAAGCTGCGCTTCGAGGCAAAGTGCCACTTTGCAGCAAGAAGTGGCCGAATGATTTGATCTGTCCTTTCACTGAGGGTCCGGAGCATCCGGCTACACCACCATTTGGTACCACCATTTGGTACGAGGGTGAAGGGGGTGGCGTTTCATCTTCGGAGTCCAGGATGGCCCAGGTTTGGAGCCTGGCGTTTTTGTTGGTCCGTGCTTTCCATACTTCTGCCGACCGAGTGCCGAGTAGTAATAGAAAAGTAAGTTCAGATATGTTTATTCTAGGGTTCCAGGTTACGTAATAGTCCCACCGCCTAAACAATTCTTATTCTTCACTTTTGCTGGGCTTGTGGCCCAGATGGTGGGGAGTTGCTGTGCGAGGCTGGCCGCCAAGGCGATCCCTCGCTTGGCGAACTGGAAAGCACCGCACAGGGAACCTTTTCAGGGCTACAAGCTGCAGCACGGTGCCCAGTGTCCACGGCTGACACAGCAGAATAGCGCAGAGCTGCAAATGTACCCCAAATCCAGATGAACAGTTGGTTACATTAAGACCGACCCCACCAGAGGTGATCCATTTTCTTTTCAGTTGAACAGAGACCAACAAGTGTTCCATGCTGAAAAAGCTGACTGAAACAGTCAGGGTGGATCACATGTATCATGTCGTTGGTTTCGTTTTGACATTGGGTTTCAGCAGTGCGTGAACCAAGACATGGCACGTGTGCAGTTTTGTGCTGTTCTTTTTCTGACAGAGGGAGACTAGATACTATACGTACGCGAACATGAATCTTGACGGTAGGAGACTGCAAACATGAAAGAACTGTGCAGCGGTCTTGGTGCTCGACCCTTGAACTGGACTTTCAGCTCAGATGTGTGGATGGTGAGTAATGTTCAATCCTAAATAGCCAAGTGGGAAGGAATAATCAAAAAGTTGTTGTAAAATTATTCCCACATCCTGAATAGTGGGTGGGGATGATAAACAGATTTTTTCCACCCTTGGAGAACGATCCAAGCTTACTTACTATTGTTCTGCTGTTGCTGCCCTATAAGATCCTTCTTGACTCAGAAAGGTTTGCTTAGTTCATGGAAATCTGACCTGAAAACCTTTTTCAAGAACCCTTATTCAAAAACGCATCGATTTCATGGCTCCAAACAACACTTCTAACCTCTCAAGGACCCCCTTCTGTGCGACAGGGAGTGTGCGACAGCCACTGGCGACAGCCAGCCACGTGGAACTGTGGCTATTCCTTGGTCGGAGTCGGCCAGGGCTGTCGTGACCAAAGAAGCCGCAATCTTCTGAAGATCAAGCAGATGCTTGGGTGGCAACTCCCCACTACGGCTGTGCTGTTGTGCTGTTGTTAAGTGCCTGTGCGCGCGCCTGCAAGCAACGATGCAGGTCGTCAGAGTCACAAAAGCAGAGCGTGATGAGGCTGGACCCAGCCGGATGAGGCTGGGGAGGATGGACGCAGCCGAACAGGGCCGCACTGCGGCATCGAACCGGGCGCATCGTGGGACGAACAAGATGCTGGTTCCTCAGACCTCAAACAACCAGAGACCATGAAAACAGCTTGCTCTGGGAAGAAACCTATCCCTCCTGAGGAAAACAGCTTGCTCTGGATGTAGGAAACCACAGACTCTGCCCCAGACCTTAGACGAACACCTAAGACCTTCCGCCCCAGCTGTCAGCCCACACCGATAAAGGGAATAAAACATGACTCAACACCCCTCAGAAAACATCCTTCACACCCGGAAACGAACAGAAACACGCACCCAGACCATCCCGGCACTCATCGTCCCAGCAGCAAAGGCCCCGGAGAAGCTTCACGGGCCATGTCCTTTCGTGGCGCTCCGAATTTGCCACTCCGTGGGCGACGAGGGGAAAGGGTTGCGGTCCTCTTGGTTTTAGGGAACCGTCTGTAGGAAACCCACCGTTTTGGGAGCCAAACACCATTTTCCCTTAAACCAATTCTGGAACCAAATGGGGAGGTACTCTCAAGCAAAGCTTGTCGCTTTTGGAACAGTGACCGTTCTATCCTTTTGCTGGTCATGGGGAGGACTTTTGCATACCACACGAATAAACACCTCTAGTAAAAGCCAGCAAGGCAAGCTGCGAATCACATTGTTTGGATCTACCTTCTATCATTTTCTACCTGCCTCTACAGCAGGACTGCCTACAAGTCATCTTGTTCAATAGACGAGACAGTTGTCAGGCTGAAAGGAACGCAGGACTGATCAAATGTTCCTATAACTTCAATGCAAAACCATGACCTGTCCGAACACTTTAGGCAAAAGAGTGTTGGGGGATACAAGCATTTAGAGATACACCCATAGGCCATAGGTCATAGACTGAACAACAACTGAGCAAAACAAGGCACCACACCTCCCACCCAAATCTTCGGCAACGACTGTGCAGTCACTCGTGACTGCGCACTGCTCCAAGTCCTTCTTGCGATCAAGGGAGGAACGTCTCAGGCATTCTCCAACCGTTTGGGTATTGTGGTGACGAGTCGTGTTGTGCCCGGTTCAGCTGTTGGGGCAACTTGCGCTGACGAGTCGTGTTGTGTTGTTTTTTGTGCTGAAAACCCGTGCACTCGGGTTTGCCGAATTTTGCCGCTTCATGTCAACGAGACTTGGACATCTATGGCATTGGTTGGTGGCTGCCATCTTCATGTAACTCCTACTATACTCTTGAGCCAAAAGTATGAACCACTGAAGACCATGAACCCCTGACAAGCGTGTCGTCACGGAATGGTTCGAAAAAAAAAAAAAAAAACATCTATGCGTTAATTCCATCAAACACATGGCGACGGATGACCAGTGAATGACACCGATCGAGTCTTGCCCAGCGGACGTTGACATACACTCGATCGGGGGTGGTTGATTCATGTTGATACATTTTGCAGACCCTTCATGGGTCAACAACAATAGCCTCATTGACAACCTCAAATTGAACTGCAAATCATTGGACATATTTGATAGCAGATCATGTCCAGTCATGTCCACAGGCTCATCAAAACGGAAAAGGGTACCAGGTTCTGAGTATTTGGCTACCTTGGCTAAACAAAGCGACCCAGAGCCCAACTTGGCTGCTGCCTAGCGACCCGGATGTCCAGCGACCCGGGAACGACCCCAGTCCGACCACGGCGACCGCACGCCGTACGGCCGGCCGTGACGACCGTGGACATCCGTGAGAGACGTCGAGGTCGACGCTGGCGAAGTGATTCTGGACGCATCGATTTCATTGACATGTCCAAGGTCCAGAATCATGCACCCGTCCATTTTTGGATGCCCTTTTCCCCCCCTGTCTCTAGAGGAAAGTCGTCGAGAAGGAGCATGTGCTTTTCTGAATGTGGGCGTTTGGGGCCTGAACCACTAGATGTTCTCCCATTTTCTTCATGTTCTCTTCCACTACTTCAAGTTGCACCCGAACATTCGGAATGTATGAGTACGTTCTTTCTTTTCATGTCCAGTGAGATGTCGTCCGATCTGGGTGCAGAGCCGCAGCTTTTTCGGAGGATCTTTGCCTTGTCACATCTGATCTTCACTTTCGATCTGGGTCAGCCTGCATGCGTCCAAGTGAAGAAGCACTTCCCCGAAGCACGACAAATACCCCCTGAGCTGACCTGGTCAATACCAACCTTTGCGAAGATGTCCAAGACAAGACGAAGCACACAAAGGGACAGACACGGACCAACGTGTGAGAACAACATACGGACCAACTGTGCAGCCTCAGGAGCGTCGTGGCCATGGCTGTCAGATGCTGTCGTGTCCCGCAGATTGATTTCAACTTGATCCTTCATACAAGCACCATTGGTGGTATGTTGTTTCTCCTGCCCACGTTCTTTGGTGATGCTGATAAGTCCAGCTTTCACCCAGCGATGCAGCGACATTCTCAGAAGGCAGGCAGGGCAAGGACTCGACGTACCTAAATTTTCCTTCTCACAAGGGCATATGCATCTCCCAGCAACGATTTGCTGACCACCAACAGTCATTGAACCATGTTAAACGGCTTAATTTAAACCCCTTCCACGTCCAGCCAAAAAATTCGGAGCACAAGTAGGTGTTCCTCAGCAACACGCAGATATGATACTGAACCAACACTTGCTATTCATCCCCACCTCCTGCTGAGTAGTTCTGCGTAAGTAGCTACGTATAGCTAGTCGTCAACCCCTCGATGCCTCAGAGATCTTGTCCTCGATCAACTGTCTGGCCAACAAACCTGAGCCCCAAACGAAATCCCTGTCCTAACCAAGATGGAGCCCGTCGGTAAACCCGATGGAGCCCGTTGGGGACGTGGCAGAAAGAGAACGCCGGATGGAGCCTATATATACGCCTTCGGGAAAATGGAGTCAAATGAGGTCACGGATGATTCTGATGGTCCTCATCCGTCCGTGGACCTCGATAGAATCCGTGGGCAAGTCAAATCAGAATCCGTCTCCAGAAGGAGAAGACCATTATCGATCCGTGGGCGGATTGGACTAACTAACTAATGGGTGCATGTGTATGGGCGAAGATGGGAGACCCCTCAAGTCAAAATTCTGGCACAATGAAATCGACGAGACGAAATCCATTGAATTCATTGGGCCCAACCTACCGCTACAGCGTGTTTATACGTTTGCGAAATCCAGTGGGCCAAAGGTAGGTCCCGCTCCTTTTTTGAAACAGAAACCCACTACTACTATACACCGTTCACAGGATTGCCAACAGTACGCTCTTTCCAAGGTGTCGCCTCCGGAACCTGTGAACGAAATCCCAACCACTCAGTACCTTGGCGAGGTCGCCAACGATACTTGCGAAGTGGCGTTCCAATCCCACGACCCGTCATCGACCCGTCGTCGCGTCTGACTGACTCTCCAGTCGTCGCCCCAACAAGGCACAAAAACACACGCGCAGCCAACGAAAGGGATGTGAAAAACGATCCTGACGTTTTCCTGCAGAGTCTAAGTTACGCTAGAACTCACTGATTTCTGGGCGCCTGGACGCTGCTGGAAAGTGCCTGATATTCGCACTTGGCTATATCCAAGCTCCTGGCATGGCACATCTTCATGGTCAAAAACCGTCCCATGACAAAGCAAAAAAATACTGGACAGCCCGCTGGCACGGCGGAACACGGAGGGCACCGTCCACCGGAAGAAAAAGGGCGTTGAGGTGTCCATGACTACGGAGAGAGAACCTGGACACATGGAGTTCGGGGTGATTTGCTTCGTCCCATCCGTTCGGGGCACCGACGTCCTCCTTCCACCCCGCGCTCTGTGACTCCACTAGGTGGAGAGGTTCTTTTTCGACACCCTCTTCGTGGAAGTCCAAATAGATACTCAATGAGTTCAAGGAGCAGGTTTCACTTGGTCCAACTGGACTTGTAGGGGTAAGTCCAAATAGCCGTACGTCCTTCAGCATCCACACACGGTTTCGACAACACCACATGCCATGCCGCAGGCACTAGGCCCACTAGACCGGCCTTCGTCGACTGATCGATGCTGACCAAAGCTCCACTTTGAGCTTGGATCTGCTTCAGTACCTGGACTCCGTGCTGCTTCTCTGGACTCCCCGGGCGGTCCTCTATATCAACCCGAAACTTGGTGCATCTCAGAATGCCTGGACCTGGTAAGTGTCCCCCGTGTGGAGTCAAATTAAGCCGCAGGCTCCACTCCTGGTGGTGCTTACTCGGTGCATCTCAAAAATGAAAAATGACATGCCACACTGGCATGACCTCACGAAGACTCGAGACATTGACCGCTTGCATGCATTGCACTGGTGCCACACCACCTGCCGTCGCATGGGTCGCACGATTCGGTGCGCTGACGGTGCGCTGTGTGTCGCGCACAGTCTCAGGGGCCGACCGTTCCTGACTTGCCTAGAATCCATCCAACAAACCGTTGCTCCACCTGAAACACGATGGTCGCACCGACGAGATGTCCGCAGTTTGTTCCATGCACGGCAAGTTACACAGGTCGAGTTGCAGACATCAGATGAGTCCACAGAACATATCTTCAAACATCTTCAAACTCTTCTTTTACATTCCCTGTCCATACTACTGTATATGTAGCTGTAAGCGCCCTAGTAAGGGCCCTAGCACCCTAGCAGCCCTTGACAGCACCCTTCGGTTCGTCTCAGTGTCTGCTGACGCCGCCTCCATGTCAGCCGTTTCACCCGACTCCTGCAGCACCGGCAAGAGACCGACCCCAGGCGCTCAAAAACAAAGGCGTCTTTTTACTTATATCATTCATGACCCCATGGTGCTCAATCAGAGGGATGAAGCATTTTACTTATATTTATGCAGTTTTGAATGTGTTGTCTTTTTTTGGAAAGTGTTAGGACATGTTTGAACGATTGCCTTGCCGTTTACGAACCCCCCTTTTTTGTGTGACCACATTGTTTGGGCAACAAAGGAAACCATAAGATAGAACTGATCCGGCAGTATAGAGCAAGGCCTCGCCCAAATGAATCATTCAACCATCTGCTCCATATCTGTGAGCAAAAGAGATCCCGAACAACTGCGTGACATCCACCAAACCTGGCAGTTCACATCTATATATAACCCAAAAAAAGGATCCCTTACAGAAACAAAAAGGTACCCCTTTTTCTCATATTCGCTCCAGCGATGGTTGGTCTTGCTTCGCAAGGGTCGTTTCTGGTCCCACCAACTCATAGGGCAGCAAGCTTCACCTCCATGACCGAGCCCTTTCTGCATCCAGCTCGCATTCACTCAGTTCTTCTACCACATCTACCAACCCCACCCTTCCACCCAAAACCCTCCCACTCCCCTTCTACCCACCGGTCGTGTGGGCCCCGGGCCCCTCCCCGCTTCACCGCTCACGCTTCCCGGAACTCTCTCCAGCGCTTTCGCGGTCTCGTTGCGCGCGGCGATGGAGATGGAGGCCTGCCGGCGAGACGGACGGGTGCGGCGACGTGCGGAGACGTGGGGGAAGAGGGTTCCAGCGGGCGACTCGTCATTGAGAATGGTCTCCAGCCTCTAAAGAATGGAATGAAGTCAGGTTCGGGGGAAGTGGTATGATTCATTTCTTTTTGGAGGACATTTTGGGAACGTGACGTATCCTCAATCATGGACAACACCACTTTCCCAGAACTCCCAACACAGCATGGCATGGCTAATACATGCATTGACCTTTGGAAAACTATGGAAAAGCCACATGCTGTGCATTTGAATGCTGACATCCTCTGACGTCTACCAAACTTGCTTGCAGAGTTCTGGCAAACCACTCCCCCAACCTGACAGACCTGGAGGTGTTGGAAAAAAAGTGGATGAACTCATTATCACATCGCTTCTCGCACCACCGCTACCGGTGGAAAGCTGCAGGACAATCTGATTTCAATCAGCTATATGCAGCAGTATGTTGGAAAGCTGCAGGAACATCTTGGTCCGGGAAGTCAAGAACTCAGTCGGCTGAGTAAATAAGCACAGCACCACAGCCAACGCTGGCGAGTCCCCATCGCCAACGACCTCTATTCTTCGCTCGGCCATCTGAACCTGGGACAGACTGCATCTGTAGATGTGACAAATCAGAAGCGTGAACTGCAATTGTGATGTGGGATGATTTGAGCGCCTTCACCCTATAGTATAAAATTATTAACATGTATACATCATGATAATAGTCATCGATTTCCAGAACAGGTGCTCCTGGGAGATGTTTTCTCGTGCAAACATGTGCAATCTATTCCTGTAAAATACAGTGCTCTCCCAAGGAAAACACCCGCTCTCTACATTGACGGAAACCTGAGCTCATGGCACAGGCACAGTATGAATTGTTAATACCAGGACCCTCCAAGGGGTACCCAATGGAAGCTACCCAAGGTAGTGTGGGGTAGTCCAGCCAGGACACCCTGACAGGAGGCTCCAGGTACACTGTCCTCATTCCAATGAAAGGCCTTTGGCACCCTCCACTCATGGCACGCCCTTCGCTGGCATAGCTCGCGCTCTCAGGTGCCAGCCGCCGATGCGGGCCCCGTCACACGGACCTGAACCCAGTGGGAAACCCGCGGACCAAGTCAGGACCGGTGCGTCGACTTCGTTTTGTGCTTTTGTTCATCTTTTTTTCTATCCAAACAAAGTGGGAGCCTGTCCTGGTCCCATGCTATGTCATGGGTGGTCTCCTTGGTCCGTGCCAAAAGAGAAGTTGGGCTTTTGGTTGGGCAGATGAGCTGCAAGTGGAAGTAGCTGCGCTGTTCTTTTGCATAAAGAAACGATCCGAAGCCCGGCGTGGACCCAAAAGCGACATCGGGCGGACGGCGACGTCTCGTCGACCACAACCACACGACCTTGGCGTCACGCCTCGTCTGGTCATCAACACACGTCCATCTGCCAAGGAGCTATGCTGTAGCCAGCCTCCTTGGTGGATTGATCCTCAGCACGAAGAAGGAGAGAGTCCATCCCCCGTCCTGGTCAAAATGAGCCTTTTTTGTCGCGTAAACGCATCGGCATTTGATAGGCGAACACTGGTAAGGGGGAGGAGATTCCCGATTCGTCCGCCAAGTGTGGTCCTTTTCTTCCACTTTTTGGAGCGCCCACAGAAGAGTTCTTCCTCCGCTTAGAGCTCCCCCTGTTCCTCGCTATTCTCTGTGATGACCTGATCACCAAGCGATTCCAGAGGAGTTTCACCACCAGGGTGGAGGTGTTTCCACAGGCTCGTGGCCATTCAAAAAGCGAGCGAAGAACTGGAGCTGTGATGGGCGAACTGAGGCTGCTGGCGACATGGATCTTGGCGCCGCTTTCCTCCTGCCGTTCGTTCTCTGGAGTTCGGAACGGTGCGTTGCGACGATGCTGCTCGGGGAATCCCTTTTCTGGTTCGGCAAGATCAGGGATGCCGTGAGGGTTCTCTTGTCGCGGACATCTCTTTGACCCCAAAAGGTGGTCGGGCAGACAAAAACGGCAGAGGAACATTCCTGCCCAAATAGGCCTGCCATGGCCTCACCAAACAGTTTCTGAGGTGAACCAGTCTGTAAGACCCTAATAGCCTAAGTGAGTAGAGGTTGACCACTTTGGGACTTCCAAAAACCCTGCACGCGATGCAACTCCCTCAGCTACACTGGTCCATTCTACACTCTCGGTCATCTATATATTACCTGGTGAACCGTGAACATCCAAAAACCCTCCAACCCTCCAATCAGAATCCGAGCATCCTCAACAGTCAAGTCGTTTACTCGGAGGGCTGGAGCAAGTTGATGATTCAAGGGCTTAATCCAGCCAAGCTTCCAAGCTTTGACTTACAAGCTTCCAAGCTACCATTACAAGTCGATCCTATAAATTACAACTTACCAGGACACCCTGAGGGGCTTCTATTGATAGCCCCTTAAAGATGTTAAGGGGTGTCCATTAACCACCCCTTGTGGGTCCTGGTACAAGCTTCTTGATTACACCTCTTCCATTCCAAGCTTTCACGCCCACGCCATCATCCGACGTCCACGTCGACCAACCCGATTCTCCGACTCTCCTCGATCTGCTGCACCGTCTTGCCGCGGCCACCCAGTAGCCAGCCCACCATCTTCTGGTCGATCTGAACGCGAGTTTTCTGCGTGTTTTTGGTTCTGCACACCACGAGGTCAAACAAAGTATCCAATGACTGTATATGCTACGCCAGTGGGTGCAGCATGAATGCTTTAAATACATGTGAAGCTCAAAGAAAACATCTGCTTCGTTTGGATATGATTTGCTGTTGACAATACTCTGGCTGGACAACTTGCTGTCCCAGCTGAAAAATGAACGTATCATGTGAAAATCACAAGCAGCACCTCCCATTTTAGATGGAAAATTCATCCTCAGGAGTCAAGGGGATAGATAAATATATATATATATATTCACCAGGTTCACTCACTCCCCCATTGACCTACATTGACCCCTTAACAAAAACGACATCTTCAAACCAACCCCCTCCGCCCAGCCCAATGGGATTCTTGGGGAGAAGGATCCGTTTCACGCTTCGGCGCAGGAGTTTCTCGAGGGAAACGGTTCCAAGTTTCACTTGGAACTTCAGGCGTGAATGTTTTTCAGTATTTACCACCAAGATCATCTAAGATCTCATTCTTTATCTCTAAAGAGCCTTTATAAAATAAAGGAGTCTCTAAACGTCTTCGAACGTCTCCTCCAGGCCTGTATCTCCGCAGGTTGGTTCGTCTGCTGAGGTCTTTCACCACTCCTGACCGTTGCAGCTGCCGTGACGGACGGGGCGACCGGTGCCAGCGGGGACGCAAACGGACGGCCTCAGAGGCACCAAGGAGCGCAGCAACTCGACCTGAATCGAAGTTTGTGGATCTTTGGGATCTTTGGATACCCCAAGAGACAAGTCTGGCTCAAGTCTGGCTCAGGGGGGGAGTTGAGGAACACCCGGGGGGGATAGACCGATCTGCTTCAATTGGAAATAGCAGCTTGTGGTCGTTTTCAACGTTGTTGATGTTGAAAATTGCCTTTGACATATAGCTAAATTAACGAAATTTTAGTTGCCAGTACATAGGTGGACTGCAATTTGTTTTGCTTTACCATCATGTTGTACCAAAGAAGATACTGGATCACGCTCTCAAAACCCTTCCTTCCCACACCGCTGTCACCCACCGGGTAAACCCCCCGGGGCCCCCTGCGACTTCCGGATTGGCCACCAGCACCTCCTGCAGCGATGGGAAGATCCGCCAGAGCGCGTCTTGACCTCAGACGAACCACCGGCGTGCGCGTGGGCTGTTGATAGGGAACGAGAGGATCCCTCAAAGGGACAACCGACGCGAGGGGTGGCAATTTTCACAACCTATGGTTTTTAGGTTTTAGTTCATCCCGTTTTGGGAATATAACTTTTTCAGCTGCCGGAAGTGTGTTTTCAAGACTGTTTTGCCAATGGACCCATTCCAAATGTTTTGGCGCAGTCCACCAAAGCTCCTTTTTTTTTGGCTCCTGCCAAGGTTGAGGTCGTTTAGATGAATCATGGCCAAACCCCAGAGCCCATAAGGAGGGCTCATCACTCGCACTGTGTTCAACAATGGTTGAAAGAGTGTGTACAGAAGGATCTTGTCTCAAACAGCTCTCCACGGAATTGTATGAGACCCATGGGACTCTCAGTTTATCAAGCTTACAAAGAAAGCCAACACATCAATCAACAACTAGATACATTAGTTATTGACATACTTGATGTACACGTTTTACAACGTTTTTTTAAAAATAGACTTTTAAACTTGGATTTTGAATCTGGAAACGTCTAGAAGTCTAGAATTTAGGAAAATCAACATTGTGTTGTCCTGTTAAGCCTGGCCGGCATGTTGTGTCCAATCCCAGACATGAGCCAAAAGAAAGCAATGAACAAAGTATGCTAAACGATTTGGTTACAGTACTTTGCTTGGTTGTCATCATGGTCCCCCGGAAAAGTTATAGTTCCGGAATTTCCCGAACAATAAGTCCCATCAGCAGTCCTACGCGGTCGCGCGCGGAATTTCCGGAACTATAAGTCCCGTCAGCGGTCCTACGCGGTCGCGCGCGGTCCCCCGAAAAGTTATGTTCCCTGAAAAAAGTTATAGTTCCGGAATTTCTGGAACTATAAATTGTGTGCCAAAATGCTCATATTTTGGCGGGTATGTTTATGTTCTTTCCAAATGTTTTTTGACTCAAATGTAAACATTTGCACCCGTCAATTGAAAAGTTGACGGGTATATTCATACTTTTTTGGAGCCATAGACCTGGAAAAAATACAAGAACATACCCGTCAAAAAATGAAATTTTGGACACGTAACTTATAGTTCCAGAATTTCCGGAACTATAACTTTTTTCAGGAAATATAACTTTTGGAAGCACCTGTGGCAACCGAGCACCTTCTGAACAAGTTTCTTGGGACCGCACGTGACCGCGAACGACCGTTGACCAGACTTATAGTTCCTAAATTTTCGGAACTATAACTTTTCCGGAGTCGCCACGACCGCGAACGACCGTTGACCAGACTTATAGTTCCTAAATTTTCGGAACTATAACTTTGCCGGAGTCGCCACGACCGCGAACGACCGTTGACCAGACTTATAGCTCCAAAATGTTTGGAACTATAACTTTTCCCAGAGCTCACCACGACCGCGAACGACCGTTGACCAGACTTATAGTTCCTAAATTTTCGGAACTATAACTTTTCCGGAGTCGCCACGACCGCGAACGACCGTTGACCAGACTTATAGCTCCAAAATGTTTGGAACTATAACTTTTCCCAGAGCTCACCACGACCGCGAACGACCGTTGACCAGACTTATAGTTCCCAAATTTTCGGAACTATAACTTTTCCGGAGTCGCCACGACCGCGAACGACCGTTGACCAGACTTATAGCTC